ACAGAGGAGGGGCGAAGTATCCGGGGGTAACACGCAACCCTGGAAGGACGACATCATCACTCGTACAAGCACGCCATGGGGGGCCATGCCGTCGCGGTACAGGATATGCTAGTCTACTCAAATGTATATTCATCCAATCAGAGCCTTCGGTAAGGGCTCCCTGTATGCTACAAATAGGGGAGACCGAAGCCTCACCGGGGGTCGATTCTTTCACCTTGTAGCAGTCATATTGTAGCTCTCTACCATTGCAATACAAAACAAAGCAGGAGTAGGATATTACGCCAACAAGGTGGCCCAAACCTGGGTAGTTCTTCGTATTCATTTGTAGTTCATCCATCACATTTCACCCATGACTTAGGATTGTTGGACAGTTCAATCCCTGGCCGAACTCTCCAAGAGTTGTTACTCACAACTCATATGTAGGTTTTAGATACCGACATAACCATGGCAAACTTATTTCACTGAGCATGTTAAATTTAGTAATTGATCATGGCGAATTTAGTACCTATATCATGGAAAATTTTAGTTTCATGTATTTGCCATCAAATTTTACTTTTATTGCCAAGACAATGATAAATTTTAGTACATGACCATATAACCTTACTAAATTTACCATGAACAAGATATATATTAATTTGCCATGTGACAAGGTCTAAACTTCCTAGAATTGACATGTGGACATTTCAAACATTTTTTTACACTATTGACATGCTTTTTCTGGGGGAAAAGTGTTTTTTTATGAATTTGCCATGTGACCGGATATGAAACTTGCCATGCTATGATTTTTTTCCATTAACTTGCCTTGGACCATGGCAAATTTATTTTACAAACCATGGCAAATCTAGTTAAATGGAATAGATTTGCCATACTACATGGCAATTTTTCCCCTGGAACATGGCAATTCTATTTTACGAAGCATGGAAAATTTAGTTAAATGGATTTTTTTTGTTGAGTACAAAATGGTTATCGCACATGCAATTGATTTGACATACTACGTGGCAATTTTTTCACATCCACCATGGCAAGTTTATTGAGAAAATTCCTTATATAACACTACTTTAAATTTTGCTCCCTATTTGACACTCGAATAGCTTTTCTCCTATCTAACATTGTATCTAAATTTTATGCCCTTTATGACACTTCCGTCCATTTCAAGCTTTAACGGCGTTATATGACACCTAAAAAGACCCCCCCCCCTCATGGGTATGTGACCAGAATTTTACGTGGTAGTTTAGATTCAATAGCTGACTTGGTCTGGATGGTGTTCGACATAATTTCTTACCAAAGAGAAGTTAATTACTGAATATTTTTCTTGAATGCAGAATGTACAGGGAAGGAAACATGCACCACATACATGCGCTACCTATCTTTCATTAACTTTGCACGTGCATGCATGCATAGCCTGTCGCAAATGCTGAGGGAGCCAGTAGCCCGCACGACAAGCATGTCATGCTGGCTACCGGCTCCTTCAGCACAAGCAGTGGCACTGGCGCTTTGCACACGTCTCAGGATGGACCGAGCAAGAAGAAAATGCATTACGTACACAGAACTATCTAGCAATTTTCTTAAAAAAAAGAGAGCTCCCTCACCAATTTCATATAAAAGAAATCTTTACATAACCACGCACCACATCTACCCAAAGGGGAAACACTACTTAAGAAAATGAGTCGGTCGGATATACACGTACACGTAAAATTTTGGTCACATACCACACGAAGGATAAATAGGTCTTTTCAGGTGTACTGTTACGTCTTAAAATGGACGGAAGTGTCATAAAGGGCATAAAATTTAGCCTCAGTGTTAAATAAGGAAGATTTTTTTTCAGTGTCAAATAGGGCAACAAATTTTAAGATAGTGTTAAATAAGAAATTCTCTCAAGTTTATTTTACAAACCATGACAAATTTAGTTAATTGAAATAAATTTGCCATACTACATGGAAAATTTTCCCCTTGGCCATGGCGATTCCATTTATCAAGTATGGAAAATTTAGTGAAATGGAATAGATATGCCATACTACATGGAAATATTTTCCCCTCCACCATGGCAAGTTTATTTTTTAAGAAACATGGCAAATTTAGTTAATTGAAATAGTTTTTCCATACTACATGGCAATTTTTTTCCCTGACCATGGCAATTCTATTCTGTGAAGCATGGAAATTTTAGTAAAATGGAATAGATTTGCCATACTTCATGGCATTTTTCCCCAAACGATGGCAATTGTTTATTTTACAAACCATGGGAAATTTAGTTAAATGGATCATGGCAAATATGTTGCATTATTTGCCATGGATATTATGTGTTCAGCAAATGCCATAGTGCATGCAATAGATTTGCTATGTCAAATTTTTACTTCCTTATTGTTGCCATGGCAAACTTGCGTTTTTATTGCCATCGCAAATTTACATCCATCGCCATCGCTCACGACAAATGTACATTTATGTAGCATGGCAAGTTTACTTTTATTTTGCCACGTCAAAAATACTTTACATCCATAGCAAATTTTTTTGCCTTTTTCAATTATTCATTGGAATTTTTACTTCCATAAACTCTGGCACATTTACTTTTACAAAACATGGCAATTACTACTAACAATAGATGTTGCACTTTTATTTTTTTCTGTCCCACATGATGAAAAATTTTCATGCACGATATTCATGTATTTATAGTAAAAATGTCATATATTTTTAATCTGGAATTCTAGCCACCATGTTCACATGCAAATTGCCTTGATCTTTTTCTCTTTTGTGCCATTCGCATTAAAAAGTATCTTTTTTCCATTTTTGAGATTTTTTTGGTAATATTTTTTTTTCATTCTCTGTGTATCACGAACAGTTTTAATTTTGGACCATTGCAGAAAAAAAACAAGAAAAATCATAGCATGGCGAAATCTGGTTTTACTTGTCACACCGAAAAGTGTGTTTTTTAGTCACACTAAAATTGGGACAAACTGGAATTTATTTTTCCTTTTATATTTTCACAGCAAACAGAGCTGTTGTCGTGCGGAACAATTTCGTTTGATCGACCCTCCCCAGGGGCACAACCTCTGTAGTTTTGTTTCCTGCAGGCGCACTGCGTCGGAATGAGTTGAGTCGATTGCATCCCTGATTACAGAGCATTTATCACGGTCACCAAAGTCGCGCACGTTCCAGTTTACAACTCCGCATTGCAAAATTAGGTGGCACATTGAAGAACAGTAGGAACAAAAGCTAGCCACGTTCATGTATGCAAGTTGAAAGCAAAGGATAAATCTCATTAAGATCGAAACAGAAGTTGCAAACATGACAACAATGCAGCGACAGACGTGGAAATGCAGCTAAAACAGCCCCTAAAAGGATAACCAAGCTGGGCTCATAAGCATGCAGGGTACAAGCGACTTCAGGAGGGAATGGTCTGCTCGGCACCATCTATCATGTGCTGGAGTGACGAAGAGCTCCGAGAGACCGCTTCGAGGATGGCGTCGACATTCAGATCACAGCAGCGCGCGATCTGCTTAACCTTGCCCCAGTTGAGCGGCATAGGCGTCTTTTGGAGAGGGAGCCCGAGGAGCTCGGACACGTGCTGCAGCTTGGCCTTCTTCTTCCCAGTGGCAGAGGTGCCAGGGCGGCGCCGCGCCCCGCCATCAGATGAGGTGCCGGCTGCCTTGCGCTTGGCAGCGCGCTCAACAGAGCCCACCCTTGGCCCGTCATACAGCTTCTGATCGGCGAGGGCGCTGCCGCTTGGGCGGCCGGCGAAGTAGATCTTGTCGGAGAGGGATTGTGCCGCCCCCGGTCACGACAGCGGCAGAGCCGCCCACCTCACTGGTAGCGACGGCATTAGAGGCGCTGTTCCCTGCCGCAAGGCCCTCGTTCACCACACCCTTCGGTGCGATAGGCCAAATCTCTCTTCAGAAACAAATGTTTTCAGGCCGGCTACAGCGTTAACTGTTCGCACTGCAACGACCGTGGCATCAAAGAGTCCATTCCCAAAAGTGTGATACTCTACTCGCATAGGACGCTACTCCCTCCATACCAAAGTATAAGACGTTTTTCTAGTTCAAATTGAACTACAAAAACGTCTAAGCACTATTGGCTCAATTTTGGGAATGTAAATCCCTCATTGGTCTGAAAGCTGAAAGTTTCATTCCCACGCCTCTCCTCTTCGAGGTGCGACGCCTCATTCAACATTTCGGTTGCGCTACGATGCCTCTGATTGACTAGCATTGAAACCGCAACTTCCTCTATGTAGAGTGCCGTGGGCCATTTCTCAATGCATTCCTCAAAGATGCCCTTTACTATCTTCAAGTCTTGAAGGGCAGCATCAGGTTGGTCAGACATAAGGTAGCACAAGCTACGTCTGGCATAAACAACCGGTGAAATAATTGCCCCATTATCAATAAACTGTGAAACAATGACAGGAAATGGATCAATCAGGGCATATTGCAGTCTAGAACGCCAAAATATCTCCTGATGATAAATTCAAGGCATTACCTCAGTAAAATTGTCCAATGCTACCTGAAAGTCTCCAGCTCGGAATGCAGCATCACCCTTTTTTTTGGGGATCAACGTCTCTCGCATTTGGTTTGTCCACATTTGGAAAGATAGCTGCATCATGGAGGATCATGAAGATGTAAGCGCACTAAATAAAAAAAATTAAGGTGAAACAAGAATGTATTACCTCCGTTTTATAATCTGGGACAGAGGGAATAGTTCTCTTTAATTACCTCAGTTGGAGGCCCTTCATCTGGTTTGTATCCCTCCCTCTCTAGAATCTCATGGATGGCAGTTAGGTCCGGCTGGGAACAGGTTGCTTCCATTCTAGACGCTGCAATCTGTATGGTATATATATTCCACTGGTTAACTATGACAATATTTTGCCTCGTTTAAATTTTACAAAATTCCTGATAGTGATCACGGTAAGGACAGAACCTATGCATTGCAGGTGTATCTTATTTGAATGTGCACAATTTGTACTCTTCAAGGTGTTTTTGTGACATTTACATGCATTATGATTAATTTAATTACTATACCTCGTCTAGCGTCATTCTTCCTTGTAGCAACTTGATAAGCTCGCCTGTTGATGGCCTTCCCTTCCGCTCAAGATTCACACATGCTAGACCTATCTCAATGCATCTTCTTATTTTCGGTATATAGCCTGGTGATTTGTTCAATGGATTTCTCGACCTCCATTTATCAAGGGTCTGAGAAATCAAAAAATGAATATAAATATAGAGTGTTACCAGTATGCAAAATTAAAATGTAACATGCTCTTTGTGGAAAAAGGACATCGATTCCTTACAAGCTCCACAAATCTCTCGGAGGATGTTCTTGTAACATCTGGGTAGTCCTTGTGTCCTGTTATTACCTCCAAAATTATTACACCCAAACTGAATATGTCTGATTTAGCTGTGACCGTACCTGCATGTAGGTATTCTGGTGCCATGTAACCCCTGCACCACAAGGTTAAGTTTGTGAATTTTGAAGATACAAAATAACAACGCTGTGTAGGGGAAATATTTTGTAAACCGATAAAATAGAATGGATAATTACAGTGTTCCATCACGACTTGAAGTGCTTAAAGTTTGCTGTTGATCGAGTAGTCTTGAAAGACCAAAGTCTGTAATCTTTGGCTTCATAGCATCATCCAGCAATATGTTGGCCGGCTTTAGGTCCATATGGAGCACGGGCTTAACTTTTTCCTCATGAAGGTACTTTAAACCATAGATAATACCGACAATTATGTTATACCGGGTGTCCCACTCAAGTCCAGAAGATTCATCTACATTTTTACAAAAAGAAATAACATGTTTTTACACAAAAAATGCAAAAATCTATTTTGCACTGTGAATAATATATGAAAGCACTGCAAATCTATTTTGCGTATTCATAATTAAGTTGAAAACTATAACAGCCATATTGTATACATGCAAATTAAGTTATCCTGCCCCAGCCAAAAATATGGTGAACGAAGATTGCGAAGTCATAATTAACTGTCGAATTCTTAAGGATCTCAAAATTATGGTATCGATATTATTGGAAGAAAAAGTCGTAGGCAACTGAACATCTAAACACAGACACGCACGCAACATATGCCCGTGTTGAATTGTTATACCTGAAATATAACCAGCAAGGCTTCCCTTAGGATAATATTGCAAGCAAAGCAGCCTTTCTGACATCTCCGCACAGACGAAATTCCCATTGTGCTCTACAAATACATTCTGTGTTTCGTAGCAGTACCCTCGAAGTCGCACTATATTCGGGTGATTAAGGTACATCAGATGACACACCTCATTCTCAAACTGCTTCTGAAAGCTCGGCAATGACAGTTGAAGTTTCTTCACAGCAACGAATTCTCCATTACTCATCCTTCCCTGTTTAAAATATCTTATTAATATTTTCATAGGGTCATCTGGATATTGCTATCTGAGTTTATATATACCTTGTATACCACACCCGAACCACCCCTCCCGATAGCATATGTATCAGAGAAGTTGTTTGTGATCGTTTTCAGATACTGAAATGGTAACTTTGCTGGTGGTGATGTTTGGTCGCATAACATCCTGTCCGGATCGTTGTCATATTTGCTAGACTCGCCATCCATTTTATTGTCCTGCACCAGATTGTTGTCATATTTGCTAGACTCGCCACTCATTTTATTGTCCTGCACCAGATTGTTGTCATATTTGCTAGACTCATCACCCATTTTATTGTCGTGCACCAGATTGTTGTCATATTTGCTAGACTTGCCACCCATTTTATTGTCCTGCATGCACAAACTATTGAATTCATACTCCAATCAGTTGCTTCAAAAGTCTAAAGTAGTGAAGACAGGAGGGTAATATATTTCAACACATCCCTCACGTCTATGCTATTTTTTCTTGGTACGACAGCTTATGGAGAGATACAGGGAGCAAAAGAAGGACTTGCATATGGTGTTCATTGACTTGGAGAAGGCCTATGATAAGATACCGCGGAATGTCATGTGGTGGGCCTTGGAGAAACACAAAGTCCCAGCAAAGTACATTACCCTCATCAAGGACATGTACGATAATGTTGTGACAAGTGTTCGAACAAGTGATGTTGACACTGATGACTTCCCTATTAAGATAGGACTGCATCAGGGGTCAGCTTTGAGCCCTTAATTATCTTTTTGCATTGGTGATGGATGAGGTCACAAGGGATATACAAGGAGATATCCCATGGTGTATGCTCTTTGCGGATGATGTGGTGCTAGTTGACGATAGTCGGGCGGGGGTAAATAGGAAGTTAGAGTTATGGAGACAAACCTTGGAATCGAAAGGGTTTAGGTTTAGTAGGACTAAAACCGAGTACATGATGTGCGGTTTCAGTACTGCTAGGTGTGAGGAGGAGGAGGTTAGCCTTGATGGTCAGGTGGTACCTTAGAAGGACACCTTTCGGTATTTGGGGTCAATGCTGCAGGAGGATGGGGTATTGATGAAGATGTGAACCATCGGATCAAAGCCGGATGGATGAAGTGGCGCCAAGCTTCTGGCATTCTCTGTGACAAGAGAGTGCCACAAAAGCTAAAAGGCAAGTTCTACAGGACGGCAGTTCGACCCGCAATGTTGTATGGCGCTGAGTGTTGGCCGACTAAAAGGCGACATGTTCAACAGTTAGGTATGGCGGAGATGCGTATGTTGAGATGGATGTGTGGCCACACGAGAAAGAATCGAGTCCGGAATGATGATATACGAGATAGAGTTGGGGTAGCACCAATTGAAGAGAAGCTTGTCCAACATCGTCTGAGATGGTTTGGGGATATCCAGCGCAGGCCTCCAGAAGCTCCAGTGCATAGCGGACGGCTAAAGCGTGCGCAAAATGTCAAGAGAGGGCGGGGTAGACCGAATTTGACATGGGAGGAGTCCGTTAAGAGAGACATGAAGGATTGGAGTATCACCAAAGAGCTAGCTATGGACAGGGGTGCATGGAAGCTTGCTATCCATGTGCCAGAGCCATGAGTTGGTTGGGAGATCTTATGGGTTTCACCTCTAGCCTACCCCAACTTGCTTGGAACTAAAGGCTTTGTTGTTGTTGTTGTTGTTGTTAGACGATGGGATCGGTCTAGGCCACAGAATATATTTTTCTAATACTATGTTGGCAGGATTTTAAACTCAAGACCTCTTGGCTCAGATACCATATTGAATTCATGCTCCAGCCAGTTACTCCGAAAGTACAAACTGATGGAGAGAGGCAGACAATATATTTCAACACTCCCCATCACGTGTATGCTTATTTAGTCTTTCAATGTGTGATCGATGTAGGCCACAAAATATTATAGGATGACAAACAATTCCACACGTGAGCAAATATTTGTTCGCCTTCCACAAAGCCTAGTGTCAGGTGGTATCTCCCAAGTGAGTGATTTTACCGTAACAACACAACGGTACATAATAATATAATAATGTTGATACTGATTATTATTATAGACAAACGAGTTTTGTTGATAACTAAGCTTTGAACACAAAATAGTGTTGGCTACCATAGGTATACAACTAGGTGTTGAATCTCACACATAGCAATACATATCACATGTACGCATAACATGCAAGTATGTGTTGGTGCAATAACATGGTAGCACAACATAATCATACAAACTCAAGTACTCCCTCCATTCACTTTTGTAAGGCGTTTTAGACATTTAAGACAACATCTAAAATAGTTCAATTTTAGTTGTCTTAAATGACTTACAAAAGTGAACAGAGGGAGTAATAGACAAGGCTTAAAAGAGCCATGCATAGCATGTTTATTACAAACAGGGGTCATGACCCAATAGATTATATTTACATGAATATACAATCCTGATGTATCCAATTCTCCAAATGAAAAGGCAAGAAATAACCTGCATTATTGTCATATTCGGGGGAATAGCATTTTCAGACTCAAACGCATCACGCCACAAAACCTTTTTTGTAGCATTGCGGTTTTGTTACATTAATTGGTTTTGTTGTTAGGTTGTCATTTTTAACAACTGTCACCCTGGAATGGTATTTATATATGTGTATCACTTAGTTGTGGTCACGCCATTGTGGTGCAATGATCATGTGCGACACGGGATACCGGCTATAATGAATCCGGGTGTTTGTGGCCTTAGCTAAGTTTTCTTATCTTGAGGTATATATTTTAATTCTAAGTTTTGTATTCCCACATGGTTGTACCAAACTATCTAACAAAGTTTTGATCATCACCATAACTGTATAGTTAAATAAGGCAGTTAAACTTTACATGTTAAACTGTTGCTCAAATGAATGATCAATTATGTTCGCGTGACCCGGGCCTAGGGTTTCCCCTGAGCTTGAAGAGGGGCGCAACTAAAGGCCTTGGCAGTGCCTCCAACCAGGAAAACGACACCCGCGGGCGCCGTTGCTGCTAGCACAGGCGAGCCGAGCAGGGATCTCTCCTGGCCTAAAGTTGAGTGATCCCATAGTCGTCGAATCCAGGATCATAGATGGCGAGGCCAACGTTGATCGAAACCACCAAGCCAGGGGGGTGGCAGGGATGTACCTGCCGTCGGAGGGCGGCGTCCTCCAAACCCATGAGAATTGGATCTAGAAAAGGCGTGGGGGGGAGGCATTGAGGCGTACAGGGTAGGACGGGCGACAAGGCGAACCACGCGGGGGGTCTTGGCGCGACGGCATCCAGCAACGCCAGCAAGCTAGGACAGGAGGGACGGAGATCCGAGCTGTCTGGCCTTAACCGTCGGGACGTCGGCGAGCCAGGTGAATTGGAGGGGGCGCAACTACCCGGCCGCTGAGGCCGGAGCTGCCCAATGGAGGACACCGGCAGCGAAGGACACCGGAGAGACGAGGGCCCGAGGCCACCGGGGCCAGAACAACGCCAGCAAGGGGCACAGTGTCAGCCACAACCGCGGACGCATCGCCGCCTCCTCAGGAGAGCCGTCTCCATGGCTTGAGGGGGGAGGAAGGGCCGCCTGCACGTGAGGTAGGCCGCGAACACCCTAGCAACCGGCCACAGACCCCAAAACCCAACCACGACTGGCAAGCACCAGTAGGACTGAACAAAGCCAGCAGGGGTGGCGCCCATGCCAACGACCGGAAGTGCAGGATCCGCCGCGGCCGGCAGGCTCGAACAGCAGCTGGTGGGGGCACCCCAGAATCTCGAGGAGGAACACCAGGTCGTGGGTGGAGGGATGGAGGCGCGTGAGGAGGGGGGCGTCCGCGGCGGCCAAGGATGACGAGGGAGGGGGGTTGCGGCCGGTAGGAAATGCGCGGGGCCAAGTTTGGGGGCCTGATCCGTCGCCGCCGCCGGACCAGCAGGGGGCCGCCACGGCAAGGTCGCATGGGGTGGGGCGTGAGGGACCAAGATCCGCTCCGTTGCCATCTTCCTAGGGTCCGGCGCAGCTTCGCTGGCCGGGCCTCCAACGGTTGCGATGCAAGGGAGGCTGGCGGCGGCTTGGGTTCCCCCCCTGTCCCGAGGGCAAAGCAGGGGGGTCGTGCCGTGGCGTCCATTGGCATGTGGCCCCGGGCCCACACGTCAGTGGTGCAATGTCAGTGGGACGTACGTCAGAGGATCCGGCTCCGTCATTATACTACCTTCTTCCAGTCCACTCCGTCCGTCATATATGCTCCACCAGCGTCCAGCCCAACTCCGGTCATAGTTGAGCGTGGTTCACAACAATTGTTCGACGAGATTCCTCCAAGGTGATATTTTCTTCTTCATTTTCAGTTTCTCTCTTTTGTGCAATTTTGCCATGTGAATTCGATTACAAACGAGTGCAAGTGTTTCTTCATGTTTGTGTTGTGATGAACTGATGATGCAATTTTCTTGATGTACTCCTTCCGTCACGTAATATAAGAAGCTTGCAAAAACGTCTTATATTATGGGACGGAGGGAGTATTTGTTTTGCTCTAGAATTCATATTTACCTTGGTCTTTTACTTATTGACCTTGGTCAATATAGTATAATAATTTCTTTCAAAGTTATGTTGATTGATGGTTTTGTCCTCATTGACCTTGGTCAATTAGTATAATGTACTTTCTTTCAAAGTTAAGTTGATTGATGGTTTTGTCTTTGGTCTACCAATCATGAGTTTGACCAAATTTGCACGAAACAATATTAGTATTATGACACGAATAAATATAATATAAAATATATTTCATAACTAATCTAATGTTTCTAACTTAGTTTCTTAAATATTTGTGCCTTTTTCTCTTCAATAAAGCGAATGAAACTTAAAATCTGTTGAGGAGCCACACCATCCCCCCAAAAAGAAAACCTAGCTTTTACTAGTTAGAATTTTCAGGTGACAATACTATAATATCAATAATTGCTGTAAAAAATCTCAAATTTCCTCTAATATGCGAAAAAACTGTTGAAAATGAAAGTTGGAAACATCATATAGCTATCTTATACATCATCTATTTCGGAATTGAGAGGTACTCCCTCCGTTCGGAATTACTCGTCCAAGAAATGAATGTATCTAGATGTATTTTAGTTGTAGATACATCTATTTTTATCCATTTTTGTGACAAATAATTCCGAACGGAGGGAGTAGTAGTCACTGAAGGCGCCCCAACTTGCAGTCATTCACGCACTATTCCAACGCAGCCTCATCGGGCAGAAAAATAGTAGAATACCATACTGGTTATTGAATCTATGCATATGCCGAGAGTTTGTATAACAAGAAAACAAAATATGAGAAGAATCAAATTAATAAGGATGTTTTGTATCAGACATGATGCTACTAACGCTTTTGAACACGATAAAAGCTCGGTG